CTGACTTTCAAAGGTACGTCCTCCTCGCTCCACATGGTTGATGCACATTATTTAAAGTTTGTCCCAAGGCAACCTAATTCAACAGTAGTTAGTTAGTTAGTTAGTTTTTATCCTAACACAGCTTCCACTCTCCCTTCCCAAAGGCACGTAGACCAGCGAGCCCCTTAGCCTGCTTTTACTTACGGAAGGGACAGTGCACAGTCACTGTGCTTTCAAAACTCAGTGCAACATGGGGTTCATGTCCACCTCAGAACCCAAACCACCGCTATGCCCAGGCTTAAACCCCCCAGCTCCTGTAAGCGATAGCCCCAAGTAGCAGTTGGCAGTAGCTTTTGGCAGTCTCCTTTCAGGCGTGGGATGTTATATGGCCTGTAGCTTTCTTTACAGTAATTTAATCTGCACCTTAGGGGTGCTTAGTTAACATTTTTGAAGTACCTTAATCAGGACTCCACACTCCAGGGGTAGTTAGTTAACATTTGAAAGACCCTAATCAAGATTCTATACTCCAGAGGCAACCAGTGTATCAGATATTGCTGTCTGAGTCTACTTCACTTGGTACATTAATTAGAATAAAAGATATTAGAAGTAATTTTTCATGGGGAAACGAATGGTATTTAAGATATACGTAGTTGACCAGGTGCCTCCACTGGGGCAGGGATGGAGGAGGAGGATTTGGGGTGGCCAGCAGCCTGCGGGCCTGGGCCTAGAGCGTGATTTGGTCCTGTGCTTAGAGCCCTCGGGGGGCTTTTTGTCAGCCCGCCAGGCCGCTCAGGTCTCTGTAACCCTAGGTGGGCCACTGCTGCCAGCCTCTCCTGTGTCTGCACCCTGAGCTCCAGGGACACACGCCCTGACTCCAGGCAGTTTGCATTTCCGGTCTACAGAAATGTTAGTCTCAATTTTGAGCCTTACTATTTTTTTAATTTCTTAATTTATATATAATAGTGCTTTTTAATAATAGATTGGATGCTAAAGTATGAATTTGTAATAATATTTTGATCAGAAGAAGAAGAATTATTTTTAAATGGTAACTTCCTTATTCTTTTCTGCCTGAGAGTGTCGTCAGCGTTCCGAGGCCAGGCGCCGTTGCGGTGCTGGAAGTGCAGTGGCTGTGTGGTCCTCACACGTTTGGGCTTACTCAGGTGTGGTCATTTCTTGAAGGCTCCTTTTTATGTTGAATTCTGTTCAATAGCGGCAGACAGTTTTCTTATATAGGGATAATGTTTTTGAATACATGTAAATTCAATTAGGTCAAAAACATGTTATGTAATTTAGGTACTGTGCGTAATGTAATGACATCTAGCAGGGTTTCTACAGTAAACATTACCATTATCTATTATACCTTAATTAACATGTATAAATATAAATGATAAAGGAATATAGCATATTCAATAAAAAATAGTGTTTTACATGAGACCTCATCTTTAGCAATTTGATGACATATATGTTATAGGTATGGCATATGTTATCAGTCTTTTCTTTCCCAACATACTGTGGAAAGAAGGCAGCTGTAGACGGGTCTAGATTGCTTTCTGGACTCACTGGGAAACAAAGTAGTTTTCTTTTATAAAATATTTAGCTGCATAAGTGGGTTATTCACCCTGTTTATCCAGTTTTTAATGGGCTATGTCTATAATATTGGTAGTATACGTAATCAGCTATTAGGACTGGTAATCAGAGATGTATAGATTTAAACTGTAGTTATTGGAATCATGAAAGTGTAGAGTTTGAAAGGACCTGTGAGATCATCTAGTTAGTTATTTTGTGAGTCCCAGAGTGTCTTCGTTAAAGCTCTTTCAGGATCCATGCTTGAAAGGATTTACATCCACTTAGATATAGCGGTGTAGGTGCATGTGCATGCCTGTCTGTCTGTTTCTAATACATAACAATTGGGGCCAGTAGGATTTTAATAGGAATAATTGGTTTAAAGACATGAACGTCTTCTAATATTTAGCACTGTTCTATCAGTGAAAGTCTTCAAAACCAGGTTCAAGAAATCCTCAAAATACTGAAAGCAAAAATGGCAAAGATAAGAAATCAGGAAAGGGAGTAAATAAAGTATTTCTGGTTGTCAAAGTGTTCCAAAACCCACACATTTGAGGACATATTATGTCAGGGTAGATACAACACAGTGCTTTGGGGTTTAGCAATTTGGAAATATGTACATTTTGTTCTAATTGTGGTGTGAAGCCTTACTGAATTTCAGCTAAATTATTTTTGTACAAGCCTTTTTCCATGAAGCACCAATAATTCTCTCTGACCTCACAGGGTTTTTGTGATTATTAGACTCTAGTCTTCATGGTTGATTATATTATCCTTTTAAATTGCCTTTTAATTTTCAGCTGATGTAAGTGAAATGGAGAATATAAATTAATTAATATTGGATCTGTTCAGTGTTTGTGCTCTAGGAGATTTCAGGGGACAGATAAATACGGTTCTAAACAAATGTGCCATTTCGAGCTGTGGCATTTTATTATGCATACCTTGCTTATTTGTTATTTTTTTAATAGGCTATCTATCATATTAGAGTGCATATAAGTAGCTTTTTGCCATATAATCTAGAGGCCCACTGATTTAAACCACATTTACCTCATTGTCAATCACTCTTGAGGCAGGTGGCAGTAATTTCTCAGGTGGCCTTTGCATGGTCCTCTTTGTGACTTGGTCCTTTTTCGTGAAGATTGTTTTGTCCCAGATAAATGTCTGTTTTTTCTGCTTGTCTTTTCTCTTCATTTTCTCCCTCTAACAGGTTAAATTTAGATGGCCCGTTGGCTGCTAATTACTTTTCTCTTCTTGCTTTTGGGGTCGGTCTTATAGGATGGAGTGATTTTATGTCTGGTTCCTTATGTGTAAAACAAAACCACAACTAAAATGTGTGTTCACGAAATGCCACTTTTGAAAATGTCAGTGGCTTTTTAAAAAAAGATTTTTAAAATTTATTTATTCTTAGAAAGGAGGGGAGGAGAAAGGGAAGGAGAGAAACATCCATGTATGAGAGAAACATCACTCCATTGCCTCTTGTTCATGCCTACATTGAGAGGTGGGCCCGCAACCCAGGTGTGTGCCCTGACCCGGAAATTGAACCAGCGACCTTTCCCTTTGCAGGGTGACATCCAGCCTCCTGGGCTGCACCAGTCAGAGCTCAATGACTTTATTTTTGATTTGCCATCCGAATCGTCACATGATCCTTAGATGCCTAAGGCTTCTTGATTCTACTTCCAGTTTACTAGTGTTAAAGAAAAATAATTTAAATACCATATCATCAAATGCCATCTTTGCTGTGAAGAAAACCATATGAATTTGGTTATTCTTTATATAGTTCTCTTTCCTCATGGGTCTCAGGGGGTCTAGTGGATCTAAGTAAGAAAACATCACCCATAAATATGCAGAGGACTTATTTTATATATTAAGCTTGTATAATTATGTCATTAAATACCTTTGGTTCATGTTTAAGTGCATTTTATGAGTTGGGAGCAAAGAAAGGGACTGAGGAGAATAACCTACATGTCATCTGAAGTAGAGGTTTTGGAACATGCATGCAGAAGTTACAAGGATTTACTCCATATACTGGGATATTTTCATTCTTCAGTGCATGCACTGGTGCTGAAAAACCTTGAGTGGGCTTGTTGTATCGCTGAGCTTGAATCTACTAAAGAAGAATGTATGTAGTCTTTCAGAGCATCACATATTTTAAACATGTTCCGGTGGTTTTGAGGAGTGAAGGAGAGGCGAGGATGGGGGAAGCTTGAACTATTAGGATCCATATTTAAGCTCATATTCACTTTTGCTTGTCTGTCCCTAATCCAGCCACTTGTAAAATGAGGTAATTATTTTTAGGCCAGACGTTTTCAGCCTGTGCTTCTTTTGGCACTAGTCACGGCCCTGCAATCATGTGAGAAGTTTTGCATATATGCGCCTGTGGTTTTCAGCAGATACCAGAAGTCTCAGGTTCCAGTCCCACCCCTTTCCCAAGTTCCCACAGGAGTTAAGAACACTGTCCCAGACTGTTTCTTCCATTTCAAAACCAGGCAGTTTGGATGGAAGCTGTAGTCTAAAGGTCTTCAGAGACTTTTGACACATTCAATTAACCTATGTGTCAAAAAACTTTATATGTACTAGCAAGGTCAGTCTTTAGTAGATAATAATGTTATGGTAGACATAAGTTTAAAGAAAAATAGGGGTTTTTTGTACTTATGAAATATTCTTCATTATTCATTTCCTCAAAGCTTTGTCTCACTTGGGTGTATTATTTCTCCTTTATTTTTCTTCATCTCTTTTATCATTTGTTATAATTGTATCTTATTTACTTCTACTACATGTATTTGTAATAGTCTTTATATTAAGCTATTTATTTCTTCTCATTAATAAGTAGGAATTTGAGACTGTGGTCTGTCTTTTTTGGATTCTTATGCCAAATAAAACATTTTATAAACAGTGAGTGCTTAATAAATGTCACAAACTGACTGACTCATTCTGACTCATGGGAAGTCTATGGAAGCTTCCCATGGAAAGTTGCTTACTTGGCTTTTAATTGTTTCTGTCTCTTATTACTAACCAATGGATATGGTTTGAAGAATGTACTGTTGCCCTGACTGCTGTGGCTCAGGTGGCTGAGCATCATTCCGCAGAGAGAGGAAGGTCGCCGGTCTGATTCATGATCGCGACACATGCCTTGGTTGTGGGTTCCATCCCCTCTTGGGGCGTGTGCAAGAGGCAGCCAGTCAATGTTTCTCACATGGATGTTTTTCTCCCTCCCTTTCCCCCTTTCTAAAAATAAATAAATAAAATCTTTAAAAAGAAAGAAAAAAAGAATGCTCTGTTATGGTGTGATTCTTAGGTAGCTACCATGTAAATATACTTTAATTACAAATATAATTAAAAAACCTTCCCTGATTTATTTAAGGGAGTGATCAAAGCAGAGATCCCATTTATTAGGCCCACTCTGTTGAATCTGGTATTGGAGTCTGTGTTTGTTTGTTTATTTATTTATTTATTTTTGGCAGCGAGAGAGATGAGCCTGCAGGACATCAAGGAGGACTTGGAATTGGATCCAGAGGACAACAGCACCCTTTTTATGGGCATCCTCATCAAGGGGCTAGCCAAGCTGAAGAAGGTCCCAGAGACCGTCAAGGCGATCAAAGAGCGCTTGGAGCAGGAGCTCAAACAAATTGTGAAGCGGTCTACAACCCAGGTGGCAGACAGCAGCTATCAGAAGGGCGAGAACCTTACTGCGGAGAACCAGCCAAGGTAGGTGCGGGTGTAGGTTGGGTTTTTGGTAACTGTCGTACCTTTTCTAGGGGTGGGTGGTAAGTAATTATCTTCTTTTGATGTTATTTCTTGAACTTGGGATAATATAGTCCTTACAAACTCAGATTGGTGAAACAGCTTGGATAGTTATAATTCAGCTGATTTTTGACATAGTTGTGAAGTTTCAATGCATTTTGTCCATACTCAAAGAATGAAGCAATTATTGAATATTTACTAAGTACCAAGCAGAATTCCAGGCAATTTATGTACGTATTATCTCATTTAAGTTCCACTACAACTTTATGAGCTACTTACTAGTGCCCACATTTTACAGTTAGGGAAGCTGGGGCTCAGAGATTAATTAAGTCAAGGGTCATAGGACAAGTAGCTGATCTTGGATCTGAATGCAAGTCCATGGTCTTTGTTGTCCCACGGTTTATCCTTTAATATGTGGTGATGTTTGGCAGTAGGCAAATTAGTCTTAGGAATTACTGTACCTATTTAAAACTATTAATAGGATTTGGATTTCATAATTCTTGTTTCATAAGCGGAAATCTGAAATTGTATTCTGATCCAAACTCTCTCTTGACCATCATGCACTGGGAGACCATGTTTGCCAAACCAGAATTTAGGGCATCATAGACTAATGTCATCTGATGGTGGGACCAGGTATTTGACATGAAGACTTTCCTAGAAAGTCCAAGATGCACTCTACACAGCTCTCTGTTCTCCTCTGCTTCCAGCCTCCAACTCCTCCCATATACCAGGCAGGTACAAGGCAGGACTTTGGCACTGCGGGGAAAGGACAGTGGAAACCACATTTTCATCTGAGAACTGAGGGCGCAGTAGAGCAAGTCTTCTCAGTTCTAATATTGTGAGTTTCTGGGAGGTGCTAGACAGTGTGTAGAAGGCATCATAACCTTGTTGACATGTTAAGGAAATGCCGCTGTTCGTACTTAGGGCTTTAAAGTTTGTTTTTTTTTTAAAAAAGAAGATAAATTTAAGGAGAAATAGTAGTAGTTTACTTAGTAAAGAATTCCCCAGACTTTAAATTTTTTTTGAAAAATAATGTATTCTAGCCCTGGCCAGGTGGCTTAGTTGCTTGGAGTGTCATCTTGTACACCAGAAGGTTGCGGGTTTGATTCCCCAGTCAGAGCACGTATCTAGGTTGCGGGTTTGATCCCTGGTCAGGGTGCCTACAGGAGGCAAACAATCGATATTTCTCTCTCACATTGATGTTCCCCTCTCTCTCTCAAATCAATAAACATATCACCAGGTGAGGATTTAAAAAAATGTATTCTATTTTCATTTTCATACCCTTTTATGTCTTTAAATAACATTAATTTTATTTATACTTTAAAACTTCAAAAATTAATTCCCTTGTAAACTTCATTCAAAAGAGCAGTTGTTGAGAAGCCATCCTTCACCCCTTTCCTGCCACAGAATATTTCAAAGCACATGTTTTGATGAGCAGAGGTTTTGGAGTCGAGTAGACCTGACTTTGAATGACAGTTCTGTAATCTGAGGGAAATACCTTTTTTATGGGGTTGATGGTGTTAGATTATATGGTTAGAGCTTAGTAGGGTAGCACCAGGAAGTACCGTACACATATGTGTGAATATGAATCCACATGTGTATTTATTCTTGTTTCTTCAGCTTCCATGTTATTGGATCACTCGCAGTGTGATCCAGGGAAGCTGGGGAATGGTTCTAAATTGAACTGTTCTCTCTTCGCCTGGTGCCTGAATTTCTTTGAATACCTTTTGCCTCCTTCCTAATAAACACTCTAGAATTCTGATTTTCTGTTTGCCTGTTGCTACAAGTCCCTAGATGAATACACTGAACTTTCATAGGGAAATAATGTGAGTATAGTATATACTGGAAATAACAAAAGGGCATGGATCAATAACTTGTCTGCAAATTTCATTATAGCACCCTTAAAAGCAATGTGTCTTTCAAATGATTTTGACCTCTTACTCTTCTGTTCCCTAAGCCCCTTCCAGAATTCACGAGTGGAAATTCAGCATACTGCCCCTGGAAGTAAGAAATGTTTCTCTGTGAGGGATGAGTCAGCCAGAGGGTTTTTTCCTTCTCTAAGTTTTGTTTTTGGTCAATATTTTAAAGGCTTTTGGAGGTAGGGTATAAACTGTTTATAACATAATCTCATTTTATAAAATGTACAAATCTGAAATTTTGTGCCCAAACTCTGAGATAGAAGAGTACAGAGAAAAAAATATTTGGAGTGAACCACTTAAAGATTTTTATTAAATTTCTTGGGGTGACATTGGTTAATAAAATTATGTAGGTTTCAAGTATTCAGTTATATAATAATCATCAGTATTTTGTAGTGTGTTTACCACCCAAAGTCAAATCCCCTCCCTTCGCCTTACATTTGATCCTCTTTACCCTTTACTGCTGCTCCCCCCAGCACCCCCGCCCCAGCTGCCTTCCTCTCTGGTATTGAACCACTTTTTGAAGATCAAAGATTAAATTCTTGGACTGGGATTCCAAACGACTAATAATTTTGAGCCAGCTGGTGGTGGCTGTGTGCCATCAAACGCTTTATAACTTCTCAAGAATTAATTACCTTGGAAACTTCATTGAAAAAGGATGATTTGCATTATTGCTTCTAGAGGTTTAGAATTTGAGAATGGGTGTTGTCAGATTATCCCTTGAAGCTTCCATGGTATTTTGTGCTCATCAAATAAATGGTGCTGGGAGGTGTTAGTGACATGTGTTTTAGAGAGAAGTAAAGTCACTGTACTTCGCAAATTCTTTCTTTCTTTCTTTTTTTTACTATTACCATGAGGAACCTTTTGCTAAAGGAATAAGAATCTGTTTCTCTTACTGAAAGTTGGAGCATAGCCAAAAAGAACCATGATGCCTCTTTCCCCAACAGGCATATATTCGCCCTCACCTCCTGGTGAAAAAAATCTATTCCAAACTGTTAGCATGTAAGTGCTACTCTGAGGCAAGATACCATTTCTGTAATTTTTTCTAGAAGTTTCATTGTTAAGCAACCTCTTATTAAACATATTCTGGTAGTGATGCATTGCACGCTTGTTCTCATTTGTCTTTATGGAAAGAGAATTAATGTTGTGTGCTATTTTGTTAGAAAAGAAGGAACCAAGCTAGAATCGTCTTGTTTGTACTTCCTACAGAGCCAGTATCCTTTCACAGCCAGCTTTAAAACATCACTCTGGTGATCCACTTGCTATTTTATTTTATTTTTGACCCCCAAGCTATCTAAATGAAAATATTCTAAACTATCTGTTGTCTATTGTAGGAGAAATATTTTGTCATTCATAGTACATCTTGCGTCTGTAAACCTCTGTTTACTCTTGATGGAAAATATTCAACCACTGTTGTTGCCAACATGAGAAACGTTAAGGGAGCATGCGCTTTGCTAGTCTCCCTGAACCACCTGCTACCCTAATGTCCTCAGAAAGGCAGGCTGTGTCTACAGCCTCTGATGGCTAATGTGGTCTGCAGCCTGTGCTGCTCATATCCAGTTTCTTCAACTCCTGGTGCCTAATTATCGATTCCCTTCCAGAATCTAGCTCAAGAGTATTTTCACATCATTTTTGTTTCAAAGAAGCTGGAAGATGTTCTATAATATTTAACAAATGAGAAAAACATGAAGAAGAGATGGAAGAACTAGATCTCCCCAAAGGTATGATATCTTGTTAAGGCTATGAAAGAGAAAAGAACATGGGGAAAGAGTGATTAGCACATGTGAGGCAACTGCACCATCTATTTGAAAACAACCCTGTTGAAACATTAAGGTATAAAGTTCACCGCAGGGGAGGTGCGGGAGGCCTGGTCCACTTTGGTGGAACTAGTAGTCTCGAAGGAGCTGGAGCCAGAGCTGCCAGAGATTGTTCTCTTTTTCCGGGAGGAAGCCGTTTTGCAATGTTCCTGATCAGTCCTGTGAGTGAGAGAAGATTAAGTGTCTGATAAAAAACAGCGGAGAACATTGCCTGTTTTGTGCTCACTGTCATATTGAAGAAAGGTTCTTGGAAAATGTAGGAAAGGAATACAGGTATAGTTGAAAGTTGCTGAGAAAGAAGATCTTAAATATTCTCACCACGAAAAGGAAATGGTAATTACGTGAAGTGATAGAGGTGTTAGCCAATGCTAAGTTGATGATCATTTTGCAGTGTGTAAGTGTATCAGATTAACACATTGTACACCTTAAACTGCCATCATGTTATGTGTCAGTTATATCTCAATAAAGCCGGTGGGGGGGAATCGTCTCCCTTTCCAAAAATAATATTTCCTTATAGTAGACATTAGAAAAATTATTCATAAATCCACTTCCTAGAGGAAATACAAGTTAAGTTTTTAGGGGTTTATGCTTATTACTTAGTCGTATATTAGTTTTAGTACAAGGGTGTGCAAGTTCTCTAGGGGGAGGATTTAGGAATCTAAGTCATCAGTTTGATTCTCAGGTGAGCTAATTAAGATCCATTTACTCTGTGACTGCTGATCAGACTTTTTAACATGCTCTGCTATCTCTGAGAGGCCTGCCATTGATCGCAGCGGGGGCTGTGGGTGGGAGAATGGATGTGTCAGTGCAAATGATGCCCTTCTCCAGGGGAAAACCAAAATCAATCCCAGGAAATGAATCAGGAACGCCATCTTTATGTGAGCCAGAAAGTGAACTTGTACGGTGGGAAGAGACCATTTCTCCTCTTAAATCCACTGCCACCAAGCTTTGTGAACTGTCAAACTGTTTCAGCTTTCACATTTCCCTGGGTAAGTCTGGGATTAATAATAATGCCCCTACCTGTGATGAGGCCAGTAGTGAGGCTCACTCAGGTGAGACACCAGATGGCAAACTGCTTTGCAAAGCATAAATGCTACAAAACTGCAAACTCTGTGAGGTCTGTGATGTTATAAAGAGTGTTTGCAGCCCTCAGCATGTGTAAGAATCACCTCAAGTATATACTCCCGAGAGCCCTGCACCCAGAGATTCCAGTTTAATCGCCCTCCGCCAC